GAAAGCGAGAAATCACCCTGCCCAGGGCGGATGGCCACGCCGCAATCCCTTCTCCTCCATTCTCCTCTCAGGATCTTGGGAACGCATGCACATGCGCCCAGCGTGAGTTTAAATCACCGGGTCTGGGACGTGAACCACGGTCGACCACATGGGAGTCCAGTGACATAGCCATTACGCTAACTGCTGGTCCCCAGGTGTGTTTTAAGACACTGGGTCCAGGATACAAGCAGCGGTCAGCCATGTGGGAGCCATGTAGGGGCCACCATGCCACCTGCTGGCTCCTAGAATTTACTTTCTAATTACTTTCTAATTTATCTGGTAGCATCATTTTATATATAAGGGAATGGAGCTAAATCCTCAATTAAGAGGATATTGCATGGTGAAGGCTGGAGGTAGCAAAAGCCAATGAAGATTTGGGTATCTGTATTCAGTAAAATAGTGTTGCTGGGCATTTTTCTATTAATGCATCAGTTTTAAAAATTAAACATTCTTTTTAAAAAATTCAAGTGAGTGCTGGCTGGTGGTGTGGCGGTAAAGGCAGCTGGATTACACATAGCCAACGGCATGTTTCAAGTCCTGGTACCAGTACCTTGAGAAACAAGGTGTGTACATGCCCAAAATCCCAAAAGGAGACTGGAGAAGGGATTGTGGCATGGAGCTTTCTCACTTTTCCTCTCTTTCTCTCTGTCTGTCTCTCTCTCACAAGTGCATGTATTATATAGCAAAATTAAAAGAAATATAAATGGTATATATACATTGTAAAGAAACATTTATTTAATTTCATTTATTATAATTTTTTTAATTTGACTAGAGAGAAACAGAGAGAGATGGAAAATGAGAAAGCAACCTGCCAGATCTGGGACTCTAACCATGATTGGACATGTGGGAGTCCAGCGCCTCAACCACCATGCCACCTGCCAGCCCTGTTAACTATATATTTTATCACTACTGGTTTATTAATTGTTGCTAATTAATTAATAAGGGCAGAATGGCACTATTGCCACAAAGTAGACATGACCTCTTTCCAGGAAACCCAGAACAAGATTGTTTGATTGGTATGTGCTGCCATAGACTGAATGGTAGATTGACTGAGTCTTTAATTCTTCAGTGGTTATCTTTGTGCAGTATTGCTATCTGTTTACTAAATGTTAGGCATGCCCATCTGACTAGCTGGGTTTTTTCTTTTTAAAATTTATTTATTTATTTATTTTTATATGCATTCAATGACATTTAACAATGAGTACTAGTGGTTACGAAATAGGCAGAGACCTTAAATCTGTTCCTGCTTTTTTGACTATATTCTTTGCTCCTATGATCCATTAAGAAGTCATGCCCTAAATCACTGCCAGTCCAAAAAAAAAAGTCTGTACTCTGTACATATATGGCAGACCTGACTCTACATGAAATCTAGAGCCAAGCGTAGCCAACATCTATCCTGAAACAGAAGAAGGCAAGCCAGTTTGCAGACTCTTAAGTAATAAAAATGCTTTCATTACAAGCCAATGAAATTGGGATGGTTTGTTATGCAGCATTATAACTGTAACAGTGGACCAGTACGCAAAATGCTTGTTTGAGTTGTCAAACTGTAATAGAG